TGATAATAGCAATAATATACTGTAATAATGGACCAGACGGGGCACACTTCTAGGGGCACATTCAAAAAGATAATTGCAGGCAGATCACGGCTGAGGGATTGAGATAGCAGATATGGTATTAGTGGGTTATTTCAGGAAGTGTGGTATAAACATGGCCAGCAGTGATGGATCAGGAGTAGTGAGTGTGTGGGATTGACACACAACCACACATACACCCCCACACCCTTCTGTATGCATCACACAAGACACTTTTACATTGACAAAGACTCCAACCAGCCAAAATATGACTCATGATCCCAGATATTTCTTTTATTTTTTTCATAATGGTCTAAATATTAAATACACTTTTAATAACTTATATTTAAAAAAATAAGTAATAGATTGTACACAGTGGGTATAGAAAAAAAATCACCCCCTTTAAAATAATCACATTTTGTTTCTTTGCAGCCTGAAATGAAGACGTACAGTTTTTGTTTTATCCAGCTGTATTTACTCAGTGCAACTTATAACATCCAAGTGAAAGATATAACACCAACATGTCAGAAAAAAACAGAATCACCCCCCTCCTAAAAATGACTTGTAAACTCAATCAGGTGGAGCTAATCACCTTCTCAATGGCACACAAAGCCATTTGACTTTCAACTGTGATCAGCTGTGGTCATTTTGATTAGCTGAGCATGAAAATAGCTTTCCTGGAGCGTTTCAGTCCTTGGTAGTGCAACTGAAGCAAACAATCAACTGTGGGTGGCAAGGCACTGTCAAAAGATCTCCGGGATAAAGTTGTGGACAGGCACAAGTCAGGAGATGTATACAAAAACATCTCAAAAGCTTTATCAATGCCTAGAAGCACTGTATAGCAAACATCAGACCCTCAGTGTTACTTTCCCCCTTCCACATGCCAGTGAAATTTCTTTAAAGCAGGCTCTGTGGCTCATTAATTTGCTTATCGGGGGAAATAGACTTTTAGACCATTACTACTGCAATTAGAAACGGGTCACAATCTGCTCCAGCAGAAGAGGATGAGGATGTGAACAGCAGGACGGTGACAAGGCTGTTTTATAACATCTACTGCATTATTATGCTGTGCCAGTGGACCACCTAAAAACATGCTGTTCACAGATGGCAAACAAACCAATGGTTGTTACAATGAACACAAAAACTGGACATATTTGGGCTAGGCTTAAAATACCAGAGCCTGGGAGGAATTTAATCATGTAAAGCATTATATGTTTTTTTTTACGCTCTTTAATTTTAGCCACGTAGCAATAGTAATTTATTCAAGCCATCATGAGGTCTATTTATAGAAGTTAAAAAATAGCTTGTAGTTTGCACATGCTAAGAGAAATTGGTGTTTTCTGTGTTTTGGGCAATGAGTCATTGGTTTAGTGATGAAGGGTCTTAAGTGCTCTCTCTGTGTCACATCGGTCCACTGATGGAGTGCAGTCTGGGATTATACCGTTTGAGGATTATACCAGCAGACACAAGACAAAAGACTGTTGATTCGGCCGCGCCAGTCTAAAAGATGGATAATACACAACTAACTAATGCATAGCTTTGAACTCTTCTTTAAAAGAGCAGGCACTTATACAACAAAGACAATAAAGGCTTGTAAGGGGGACGTAAAAGAGCAGCATCCTTTCAAACGCTGTGTCACACAGACAGGACCAAACGATCCGACTGTAATTAACAATCCGGTTTGACTGAAGGTCCTCTAATGAGACCTGTTCCTCTCCCTCATTCACACACCAGCACGAAGTCCTTGTCCACCCCGCTCGCCACCCATTCCATCACCATGGAAACTGTTTACTGTACTTGCTCTGTTGTTCAGTCCCCAAGACCTCCACAAAAGGGGCGGTATGCTCTCTCACAGCCTCATTGTCGGCTTTCATCCAATGATGAGGGTCAGAGTTCAGCCAGAGACCGGCATGCCACTCACACTTCTTTTGGATCCAAAAAAAATAATAATTATTAATAATAGTAGTATTATAGGGGTTCCCAAACTTGTGACCTAAATTATTTATCCCAAGTACAAAACAAAATGTTTAAAAATACAGTGCATTTTACAACATCTTTGCATGTTGAATATTTCAGCTTTTTTTTCTTATTAGATTTTAATAAGCCTTAAAATGTAAATAAAAAATAAAAATATATTTTATGAAGCACTGGACTTTTTATTTAAATATCACAAACCCCTGTTATTTATTTTCTCTTTTTACACTTTTTCTAAATTATTTATTTATTATTTAAGAAATAACATGTAAAGCTAATTACATAAATCATATTATGCATAATTAAAAAAATGACTAATGATATTAATAATAATAATAATAATAATAATAATATTAAATGTATATTTTTTATGTTATTGGTTTTATATTTATTATTTTATAATCACTTTTATATAGAATTATTTATTTTTTCCCCCACAAACATCACCTAATTACTGTATGAATAAAATCATACAGTCCGATCATTTCATTTTAGCTGCATATATTTCTTTAGGCCTGTTAATGAGTTTGCTTGGCGTGGTGTGAGGCTTTGAGCTGCCTAAACTCACAAAGTTCTCCTATGCCCACCGTCCTCCCCCAGACACCAGTTTTATCCTCTAAACTTCAAGGCCTTAGATATTATTAAAATTGCATTACAAAATTTAGAATATGCATCTATGCTAATTAGCCAATTAGATGGTCCCGAATGCAAATGTGTTTAATCCGTAGACTAGTAAACAGGGAAAGTGGCAGGTTTGGAGCTTCTGAAGGAGGAAACATGCCATATTTGTACACTTATGAAGAAAATGAGTGGTGGCTGCATGTGCAAAACTCACTGTCGCAATGCTTGGGTGTTGTGGATGGTTGCCAGGCTGTTGCTAAGGTGTTCAGAGTAGTCAAAAGAGTGTGTTGTGTTATATATGATGTGTAAACCACCTTCAAATATCAGAAATCAATCAAACCTGTCCAGCTTCGGAAAAATACTGAGATCACATTCACAACAGCAAGATCATGCCAAAACAGTTCTTTCCCAAAAAAGAGTGGAAAAAAAAAAGTTTATTCCCATGAGAGAACAGCCATTGTGAAAGTGAAATGTTCAGCCTCAGTGGTTCGAGTCTATTATACTCACAAATGTGGCAAACACAAATGAACTCTTTTCATTAGATGGTTCTTGTTAACTGTACAGACAACAGCCCTTTAATTTACCCCAGAAATCTGAAAGGCCTACAGATCATGCATACCTTTAAATATAAAGCCACATAGCATGTATCTTTTTTGTAAGAATTATGAGAAACAAATATAGCCATATCTGCAGATATACTAGTCACCGGGTGACTCATTTCCCAAGGTGTTGGACGCAAACACAGGCAGCCCTCTGAGACAACTTGATACGTAAATGATTCATCTCGGTATAGTGCGGTATATAACTGCGGTATAGTCCCCTGAGATGTGGCACTATTTTGCCTGATGTGAGAAAGCATTAGCATGTGTAGATATGAAGTGACATCCATTTGCTCCAATATTACATTAGCTAAATCCTCAGATAGCTGTGTCGTGATCCTACATTATCCCTTTAATTTGAACTAAAATAAGTGACTACTACTAAACACATTCCAGTTCACCTCAGCAGACCTCTAGCATTTTTAGCACATGCTTTATTTAAGGGTTCACACAGATCGTACGCCAGAGAATGAGATGTCACAGTTTCTCCTAAAAGAAACGGACTAATCTCGGTGATACTCCCCTAACATATTCCCCTCCTTGTCTGTGCATTAAACAAAGGTTATTGTACTTCATCGTGTGTTGTCCATTAAGTGTGCTCTCCCTTTCATCTCAACCTCATTATACTGCAGGAGACCACAAGCGTCTACTGATCGCTTTCATCTAAGGGCTGCCATTTACATTTCTTATTCTAGAAACATCACAACATCTTAAAAACCACTCATCAAAATGTTGGCTCATCAACGATGGAATATTTCCTAATGTTGGAGCAAACACACACAAAGCTCTGCACAAGAAGTAATTTGAGCTAGAAAAATCCCAGAAGCACAACACACACTGACATCTACATCCATTTTTCTTCTGCTACTGCATTATTTATGAAGATCCTTCCAAAAAGAGCACAGCATTGGTATCCTTGCCTAACAACCAGGCTCATATGCATATTTAATGAAAACAAAATGTGTGCTCCATTCTTCTATACACCTAGAGTTATTCACAACATTAACACTTCTTTTTTCCCGTCGGAAAAAAAAAACATTTCAGAAAGCATGTGTTCTCTATGACAAGGTGCTCAGTTAATGCATCCTAGTATGACTGAGCATTACAGTTTCATTCTTACTATGGTATACGATGCAACTAAGTGAAGTTATTTCACTTTAGACCTATAGATCAGCTGATCATCTCAGTTAAAATCAGAGGAAATTATCCTACAATATACAGAATGTAGCATTTAAATTGCCTACCTGAAACATTTATATTGTGCTAGCGCCTCCCTGTGGAACAAGCTACAGCACAATGTTGTCCAAAATATAAAGAAATACTGTTTAAAGTATTGAAGTATTGAGTTTAAAGTATATACATATTATAAATATTTTCTCTCTCGCTTTCTCTCTCCCTACAAATATAATTAAAATATTAAGAATTGTTTATGTACACTTTTTTTTAACACTGTTTAAATATGCTAATAATTTAATCAAAATTTGCCTTGGCAACAGCCATGTACATAGCTATGTCAGTTGTTTAACACATGGTAGCTTTTACAAAATACCTATTTCACCTTTGTCACAAGTTCAAATCCAATTTATACATGATCTAGAGTCAACTTATCATGCATGACAGTTTTAATGACACCATTTCCAATTATAAACTAAACAATCAAGAAAGACAATAATCCTTCTAATATTCCAATGTCCAGTGTGATATGAACTACAGCACCTCCATAAATAAGAGTGTTCATGGTAAAGGGTGGAGGTTTGACCTGTGGTGTTCAGGCTGTAAATGTTGACTTACCCTGGTCAATAGGGTGCTGTGGCAACTGACTCATCTGGCTGTGCACCACGCCTGCATAATTCCGCAGAAACGCTTCCTCGTTTGGTGTCAGCTGTAAGTGTGGGGACAAAAAAAATAACTTCACATTTGGCAATGAAAATCCATGCCAGTGTCCAGTTAAGAATCACCTAAAACGCTACTAAACTGTCAAACGCTAGATCAGTTTCAAGGAACAATGAAACGGTCACCAAATTCATAACAACGACTGGTTTCTATATTTTAAAGAAAATATAAAAATGCAAGCAATTTGCTTTCTTAAGTATCCCTGGTCTTATTTTGCATTATTATTAAAGAAAACGCAGGCTATTCTAAAGAAAACAAAGTGTTTTCATAGTCAATCTTTCAATAAAATGTAACCAAGGTTGTGCCGCTGTGGGAAATTAATATTCGCCAATGACTTCTAATTTAATCCGGACAGAAAAATTAATGTCCTGCTCATGAATCTGAGCATATCTCACAGAACACTCAAATTTGACATTCAATATCTCAGGTAAGAAATAAGGTAGGGGAAAAATGTTATTCTTTTTTGGTGATGTTCCCCAACATGTTAGCTGTATCCGATTCCAATTTTGTGATGATAGAATCAAGTATCTAAAAGTTACAGCATTTTGGAACAAAAGAAGCCTTTTTGTTTAGCCCTTGACATCCTGGAGGCATTTTAAAAACTGTTTTCTGAGAGACATACACAAAAATAAAGACTCATAACTCCAAAACCGTAGCAAGGAGAGTCAAAAGGCAGGTATGGTTTCGATGATGAATATCTTTAGATCTAAATTACAGATTATGGTGAGTTTGGGCTCTTTTTAATCGAGAGAATTTTCTAAAAATAATGACGTGCCATTTTCCACAATCTATGCATGTTTCATGAAATTACGAACGAAAATGTCACATGAAAATTACCTTTGATTTTATTTAGTGGTTTTATGTGTTATAACAAACATAAGGAATATCTTTAGATCTAATGGACAATTTATGGTGAGTTTGGACTCTTTTTAATCGAGAGAATTTTCTGAAAATAATGTCGTGCAATTTTCCACAATCAATGCATGTTTCATGAAGTTATGAAAAAAAACGCCACGTGAAAGGTGCAGGTGTTATTTTTGTTTTGTTTTGTTTTTTTGCTGTGCCTGTCTGGTTTTATGTGTTATAGCTCTATGAGGAATATCTTTGTATCTAATCGACGAATTATGGTAAATTTGGGCTCCTTTTAATCTGGAGAATTTTCTGAAAATAATGTTGTGGCAAGTTACGAGTGAAAACATCACATGAAAGCTACCTTTGATCTTTTTTGCTAAGCTACATGTGCCTCTGCAGTTTTATGTGTGTTATAAATTCATGAGAAAAATCTTTAGATATAAATGGATTAAAATGCTCATTTTAATCAGGAGAATCTGCTCTAAATAATGATGTGTATTTTTCCACAATCTCAGCATGCTTTATGAAGTTGCAAACAATAAAGTGACATAAATGCCGCATCCATATATTATTTTCATATGGGTCCGGGGGTGACTTCTCGTACAATAGTACAAGTTTAGTCAAAGCCTAACTTTGTGACATATTACAGTACATAGTACAAAAAATATATTTTGTTAATCAAAGTGGCTACATGCATTGCAAAGGTCAGACTCTTAAGCTTTCAGTGGTTTGAAAAATATGA